ACTCCAAAGCTATAATATGATTTCTCCTTGGATCAACAAGCAACAAAGTCAGTATCTTTCATATTACAACAAGCAGTCAGACTGCTTTTCTAAAGAAATCTACTGACTGATAAGACTCTTTACACTTGAATGAAAAAATGAAAAATATTTACACTTTCCTATCAATGAAAATATTACCAGGTAGATGTTTTAAATGGTCCTGTATATATTTATAGGAGAAACTAGTTTTTATACCTACCATTATTTTCTTTTCCTGGCTATTTCGCATGACAGCATCACTTATGGGTTTTAATTGCCTCTCAGGTGTCAGGACAGGATCTTAAGAGCAATTAAATAATTTATTAATTCATTATTTGATTAACATTGCATATTAAGCTCCCTCCTTCCCAGCCTCCCCAGTCACAAAAGTCTGAAAGCCAGAAAAGACACAATGAAGGGAGTGTGATGCTATGAGAAATAGCGAGAAGATTAGAGTAAGTGTATAAACTATTTTCTCCTTACCTGGCTAACCATGACAGCATCCCTTATGGGTAATACCAAGAAAACTAAGAAGGGAGTGACAACATGCAAGTAACCCGCAAAACATCCTTTAATAATTAGACACAACTGCCCCAAGAACACTTTGCCAAAGGAAGAGGAGGAACTTTTAGAAGCATCCAACTTATAGTGGTTAATGAAGGTTAAAGGAGAAGACATTGTAGCTGCCCTTCATATGTTCTCTACTGGCACCTCTGTCACAGAGGCCCATGTGGTAACCACAGATCTTGTGGGATGGCTTTAATCCTAACTGGAGCTGTTTTTCCTATAAAAGAATAAGCTTTGGAAATGGAAAGAAAAATACACTTTCTGAGCTTCCTGGATTTTCTGAAAGTCTTGATTCACAACAAATAATTTTGAAAGCATCTACTAATATCCAGTGTGTTCCACTTCACCTCTCTTGCAGGGGAAAGTTCTGAAACAATAGTTGGAATCGAAATCTCTTGATGAATATGGAAATTTGTTACAACTTACAACTGGCTAAAAATTTTACCAATATGTGTGCCTTTGTGTGTATATATCTGTATGTGTGTCTTTGTGTTTGACTGTATCTGTATGTATGTAGTGTTTGTATGTTTATGCGTGTCAGTGTCTGTATCTGCATGTCTGTGTGTGTGTGTGTGTGTCTGTGTGTGTATTTGTATGTGTGTCATTGTATCTGTGTGTCTGTGCATCTGTATGTGGTTTAGTGTGTGTGTATCTGTGTATCTTTGTGTCAGTGTTTGTATCTGCATCTATGTATCTTCATGTGTGGCAGTGTGTATCTTAATATGTGTCAATATCTGCTTCTGTGTTTTTGCATGTGTCAGTGTATCTGTGTGTCTGTGCATTTGCATGTGTGGCAGTGTTTGTATATGTTTGTCTGTGCATCATCATGTGTGGCAGTGTTTGTATCTATGTGTCTGTGCATCTGCTTGTGTGGCAGTGTTTGTATCTGTGTGTCTGTATCTACATGTGTGTCAGTGTGCGTATCTGTATCTGCATGTCTCTCTGTGTTTGTTTCTGTGTGTCTGTGTATCTGCATGTGTCGTATCTGTATGTCTGTATGTGTGTCAGTGTTTGCATCTGTGCATCAGCATGTTTGTCATTGTGTGTATCTGTGTCTGTGTAACTGCATGTGTGTCAGTGTGTTTGGGTATATGTATGTGTGTCAGCGTGTATATCTGTGTGTCTGTGCATCTGCATGTGTGTCAGTGTATCTAGATGTGTACCAGTGTTTGTTTCTGTGTGTGTGTTTGTGTATATATATGTGTGTCAGTTGTGTATCTGTATCTATATGTGAGGCGGTGTTTGTTTCTGTATGTTTAGGTGTCTGCATGTGTTAGCGCTTGTATTTGTATGTGTATCATTGTTTGTATCTGTGCATTAGCACATTTGTCAGTGTATATCTGTGTCTATGTATCTGCATGTGTGTCACTCTGTGTATTTGTGTATTTAGAAGTGTGTTAGTGTTTGTATCTGTGTTTTAGCATGTGTGTCAGTATTTGTATCTGTGTCTGTGTATTTGTGCCTGTATAGCATGTGTATAAGTATGTCAGTATGTGTATATGTTTTTGTGTATCTCTATGTGTATCTGTGTTTCTGCACTGTGTATACTAATATAGCTGGGGCAGAGGAATAGAAGGAGGAGCCTGGAGAAGCAAACGGAGATTGGGGCAAAGGAGGAGCAGGGAGAGTCTGGGGCAGATGAGAAGCAGAAGGAGCCAAGGGCAGCGAAAAATATATTATAAAACTATATTAATTTAAAACATTTTGCTAATATGGGCTTACAATTTATGGAAATGGGCTGCCAAGGGGTGCATAAGTGAAAAGGGTTAGAAGCCACGGCTCTAGATAAAACCCTAGCTTTAGGTTGGGATCTGCCAACCACCACTGAAGGTTCAGTTTGAGTTCCTGTAGAGTGAACATATAATAATGGGCCTTAAAGTTGCAGTGTTCAATTCAAGAGGCTTTGTTGCAGAGATATTTGGGAATGGGTCTTAAAGTTGCAGCGTTCAGTTGTAGATGATTTGTTGCAGAGATGTTTGGGAATGGGCCTTAAAGTTGCAGCGTTCACTTATAGACGATTTGTTGCCGAGATGTTTGGGAATGGGCCTTAAAGTTGCAGCGTTCAGTTGTAGACACTTTGTTGTAGAGATGTTCAAACGTTCAATGTAATTGAACTAATACCTGGAATAATAGGGAAACTATACCAATCTCTATGTACTCTTGTTTCTAGCAACTGGAATATAATGGCTCTAGACGATGGCGCAATGGAAGAAGGTTGCCTGGTCTGATGAATCATGTTTTCTTTTAGATCAGGTGGGTGGCCAGGTACATGTGCTTTGTTTAGCTGTGGAAGAGATAAAAGCAGCAAAAATCCCACTTTGAAGCACTTTCCAATTTTGCAACAAACTAGGAAAAAAATCCTTCTTGATCCCAGAATGGCAATCAGATCTCTCCTTGGATCAAGAAGCTTTTACCTAACAAATTAAAAATTATATTGCTGAATATTATGCTTTTGCATGTATTAATCCTGTTGGTATTCAAAGATTTGTACAGATTTGTACCAGTCTATAAATCTTTGCTCAGTTGCCTCGTTAGTGAATGGTCTTCCTTAAAAAAAATAATAAGTAACGAAACACTGGATTTTGTTATTTTATATTCTGAAAATGCCACATATTCATATGGTATAAGACGTTGCAAAGTGTATGAATGAAATAAAAACAGGGTATGTAAAAAATCATTGGTGAAAATTGATTGCTACTTAAATGTTTAAATGTTCTATCCAATGTCCATACACTTTATAACCCAATCAGCTCTGCTAGAATACTATTGTTTTAAACATTTGTTATAAAAAAAAATAGATCCTCAGGCACTAGCCGTTGTGATCAGTTTGGATAGCGCTGTTCCATCCCTCTTTTTTCTTTACTAGCCAAAGTGAAGCCTATCATTTTTTTTTTCTCAAACAGAAAATTGTTGTTTACAAGATAGTCAGCAACCGTGCGTGATAAACATATTTTCAACATGTGAGATGTTTAAATAGGCATGATCACAAACACACAAGCTTCTGTACATTTAGCTCTTGACAACCAACTTCTTAAAAAAAAAGCATTAAGTTGGAATGTGAATGATTTCTTTGTTGTGAGGAGCCATTTTTGTTCCATTTATATGTGATGGCAGACCTGTTTCATCTCTGGCATATATTTTAGTTCCTATCACATTTATTAAGCAGAGAGACTGTACTTCAGAATGATAAGAAATATTGTTGTTTGTTGATCAAAGGGGGAGAAGGAAAAAACTGTACGTAATATTTGTGTTTATTGGAACATTTTGTACTTACCAAGTACAAAATAACATAATGTGCACATATCCTGTCCAAAAAAAGTGTAGATTTATACAACTGTAAACTGTACTGCCTTATTTAATTTACAGAAGAAATAGCCAACCCTAAGTACAAATTTATAAACTAATCCTCTTTAACAAGGAGACAATTTAAAAATAAAATATTAAAAAGGTGGAGATATAATTCAGTAATTAAATCATAAAAAGATGAAGTACCTATAACCTTAAGGAGATATGTGTGCAGACTGCCAAAAGGCAGTTTAGGGAGGACTTCACGTGGGAACGAAGAACACCTAATAGGTATTAAAAATAAATTATCTCAATAGAATACAAAAGGAAAATGGTTACTGTGAATAGTAGCAAAAGGTACCATCTATAACGAGAGCTGAAGAACATAAAAGAAAGACTTTTTTACATTTACCATAATCATACCTAACCCTGGAAACTTTCTATAGTAATCAAAACTCTTTTTTATGGCACAGGTCCCCTTGACCTGCGCGTATTGTTGCTGGCAGCGAGGGAGCTGTGACGTCTCTGCTCTGCTCCCCCGCATCCGGCGCGCTGCTTAGTGAGACTGGGGCCGGAATATGTAGTCATATTCCGGCCACAGTCTCATTAAGCGGCGCACGGAGAAGCAGAGCAGAGACATCACAGCTCCCTCACCGCCCTCCTATTTGGGCAGCTAGCCACCCGCCTCCACAACCACCCAGCAAGCCGCCTTCCTACAAAATCCCCCAACTTGCTGCTGGCCGCCCTTGGAGTAAAGGATTTGTAATTGTTCTCACATTCCAGCAAAAAACAACAGTTCATTGAAGATTGACCCAAAGATCTTCAGAGTTTACTGAGTGGAAATGTTTTACTATGATCTTCATTACCACAACCAATGTTTCTTAAATTCCCTGAAATATATGTTAATTCTGAGCATTTTTTTCAACAGATGTTTTTTGCTCGATAGCTTGGATACAGGATGTACATGTTCCTGTACGTCCAGTTATCTGGTTACAATTACATGTATGTTAGTCCACCCATTGTACAGCGCTACGGAATTTGATGGCGATATATAAATAATAATAATATTAATACATCAGGAAATCTTCAACTAGTAGATAATTAGTTGGCAATGAACAATGTATAGTGTGTGGAAATTAAATGTCACAATCACAATGTGTCTCAACCTGCATTTTAGTAATGAAGACATACCTGGAATTTGATTTTATAGTAATAACATTTTAGTTGCCAAATGAGAAGCTTGGATTGACTGAGTTTGATGGAGAAAGAAGAAACCTTGAGATTACAATTTCAAATTTCTTGATAAGATGCAAACAATGAAATATGATTGTATTGTAAGTTGGATTGTATTGTAAGTTGGATTCGCAGCTTGATAAAGTTTTCTGAACTGCATTGCCCTGCATGTTTTATTTATATTCAGAAGGTTAAAAAGGGTATAGAATTTAATAAAGACAACTAAAATAGTACAGATCTGCCTACTAATGCATATCAAGAGAGAAAGAAAAACTTAATTATGGCTTGGAGATGAAAATATTTAGCAAGAAATTAAAGGGACACTATATACACTTCACGCATTTCAGAGAAACTGCAGTGTTTACATTGCAGGGTTAACACTGCCTCTAGTGGCTGACTACCAGACAGCCAATAGAGACACTTAATTTCACGGAGTTTAACTCTGTGAAATGATGCTGGACATCCCCACACTCTGCATGAGGACATCCAGCATATTCAAATCCCCCATAGTAATGCATTAATTTGCATACTTATTAGGTCCCCCCTCTCATTGCCTACATCGAAGGAGGAAAGAGGTAAGTGTTTAAATATATTTTTAACCTTTTCTTGACATGGGTTGGGGGTGAAAATAACCATAGTGCAGAGGGACACTATGGTGTTAGGAATACAGTTTTGTATTCCTAACGCTATAGTGTTCCTTTAATGGGTTTTATAAAATATGGTATGCAGAAAAAGAGGACATTATCTGAAGTTGGATGAAAAGATGTTTAGTGGTAACAACAGAAAATATATTTTTATAGAAAAAGATAAATGGAAAAATGTATGAAATCTTGTGACAAACCCACTGCATTCCTGTTGATAAGATTTGTCCAGATTGAAAACCCATGTGACTATACACACATTTATAATAAAAGACTAAGTCCATTGCCCTTTAGAGTTTCAACAAGTCTTTATTATTATATTATTATTATTATAGTTTTATTTATAGAGCGCCAACAAATTACGTAGCGCTTTAGAATTTATTTACAATTCATTAGAACTACCGCCCACTGTAAGTGACCTTGTAATGTTTTGATTCCTTAAGGTCATTTTAATTTTAGTTTGAAAACTGAGATTCATCAAGTACAAGTACCTCTCATCAACATTAAAGGATTTGTATACAAATGGGACAGAACTGATTTGTCATATGACTTTTAGCTTCCATCACTTTCTATATTTCTATAAGAGCAATTGGAGCATTGCATACCAGGTTGCACTTATTTAAAAAACTCTATAGCAGAATATTATATGTATTAAGGCAATTTTGCCTGGATTTGTGGGAGGTGCTTGGTATCCACTCCTAGCCTACTTAAGGCACACCCCTTACCTTGATCCTTACCGTTCGAAGTCAGCGTTGAATGAGCATCCACTTCCGGGTTCTCTCAGACGCCATCTTGGTTTTTCAGTATCCACAAGGTTTTTCCCTGGCAAGCTGTGTCCCAGAATCCTGTTTCTGGCCTTTTCTGCCCGTCCAGCTTCTTCTGACCCCGGTCATTGTCGTAGATCACGTCCCAGGGACTCCTAAACCGTAAGTTAGACCTACCTGTCACGCCAGGATCGGTTCCCACGGCGTACGGTACAGCACGGATCCTTGCTTTACGGTTTTTCCCTGTTATGTCACAAATTTGTACTAGCCGTTCACGGTTTTCCTTTTGTACGGTCATTCGGCTAATCAGTATATTCGTATAAGTGGTCATTTTGCATATACTATTCCTTGTTACAGTGAAACAGTTTATCATTTTGGTTGTTTTGCCGTTCAGCACATTTTCATGATACGCTTAAACACGCTTGCAGTTCGCATAAAATTCATATGTTTAAACTATTCGTTCCAACTTCTGTTTTCCCTCACATTGGGTTTCAGTTTTATTTCTATGTATTACACATAATCCTTTCGTGGATTACATTCACCATTTCATGTATATACCATTCGGGTAACGAATTGCTTGGTTAAATAGACAGATTATTTCCATTACTGTTTAAAGGTATCAGTATTGTATTATGTCCATAAAAAACCAAGCTCACTTATCTGTATGGATCATTTTGACTCCCACGCTTTCAGGGGTCTGCCATACTTATCCATTCATTCAAATGGACTCAGCTTACATTACAGACCTCATTTCTGTGTTATAACTACGACACATGCATAAGGATACAGTTTCCTTTTACAAGCAATAAATTCGCGGGTTGAATCACGTACTGATCCAACCAATCATACGTCATTTTCAATACAGGTATATCATATATATAACTTTACATCACTTTAAGGCATTTTTTGTATCCCTGCCCCTTTTTTGTTATTCTATTACATATCATACATTAAGCTGTTTAAATATAGGCCACGGCCTCCCTCACCCATGTTATTTTCTACTTGACACCATCATACATTCCCCACTGTTTTATACAGAACTGTGCATTAAAGACACAGCATCACTTTGTCTTGGTAACACATTTATACTCTCATGGTATATCACTACACTTCATTTACCAAGAAATACGCCAATCAAGCCTTAAAAAACATCACTGGTATGGGCTACACAGTCTACTTCATTCCCACACAGTCCACACTCACTATACTACTCTCTTTTACCCATTTTCAGGCTGTCCAGGTTTAAATAGATATTTCACCACACGGTTTTCCTGTGAGATATTCATACTACCAGGTACGTACACCTGCTCATATGGTATTCTGCCATTCATTTCATTTCTCCCCCCCTAGGTTAGAGTACTGGCAATAGGGTTATAGGCTTCCCAATAGGTATTTACCCCTTCTTGGCATTGCCATCAGTTAGTGGTCCCGCGAGGCCAACACCACCCCTCAACGTTTCAGAGGCAAAAAAACCATCGCACCACGCGTTAGCTAGCCGCCTTGCATGTTGCATAGAGAGGGCCTCACCTGTCACTCCCTTTCCCTGTTTTTCTATGTTACAGTCACCGAGAGGCCTAAAATTCCTGCCACTACGACGGGTGGCCTCAAATCCCCTCGCACCAACGCATAGATAGAGCCTCTCAAGCCACTTGCCAACTAGTAGGGCCTCACCTGTCACCAAACAAGTGTACGATTTTGGTGGTTTTCCATACACTAATTAATTGTTTTGGTTATAGTATGTCTCAGGAAGGGGTAGAGGATTTCTCCCTGCCTAGCACTCCGGCTAGAGCTATCACTCCTACACAAGGAGGAGAGGTAAATAGTCCAGCATCGATCAGATCCTGGACGATCCCTCGTATAACTACCGAATTAAGGAGACCGCAAATCCCCTACCCCGCTACAGCAAGGAAAGCAGAACTTTTCAAACTGCTACGTACCTCTACAAACAAAATGTATCCCGGGGAAGGACTTAGCCAGTCCAACCCAGGAGACATACATTCCATGTTATCTTCACTCATGGCGTCCATGAGCAAGGTCAACTCCAGGTTGGAGAAACTTGAGTCGGTCACCACGGCCCTTACTCTAGCAGGACCACCCGCTGCTGCTTCACAAGCACCAGCCGACTTGCTATTGGTTCCTCCAGCCATCACCTTGGATGACCAGGAAGTTAGCCCTGCTCATTTGATCCTTGAGCACATAAAAAGAGATATCCTGGAAGGTAAAGACGTCAACCTAGCTTCCCTGCTGATTGCCTCCCAGGATATTGTGGAAAATAAGACTTATGCTTATGATGATGTGTCTGTTGTTGTCAGATCTAGGGACGCCCGCCTAAAGTTTGTACTGGCCTTTGGTATTTACCGGGATGTCATCTGTGCGGTCTATCCCAATAGAAGAGAGGAGTTTGACCTTTATATGCACAAGCTGGTAGACCTGGGCAACAAATATGGTGGTTCAGCCTTTTATGACTACCATAAGTCTTTTTCTGCAAAAGTGTCTGGAGCGTTCTCCCAGTATGGAACAAGATCCAACTGGGGAAGGATTGATACCGTCATATTTTTCAGACACTTTGCAGGTCCAGAGAAATTGACAAGAGACAAACTGGGACGCCCAATCAAGTTTCTGGGCAAGTCCCAGATATGTAACAATTTCAATGCTGGGTCCAGTAATTATAGCGGTTGCAGATTATTGCATATCTGTTTAAAATGTTTTAGGGCACATGCAAAAACCATGTGTCCAAATAAAATGTATTCTAAGCCTTACCTCACGCCCATTAATATGCCGGTATTTACTGCATTTATGTCACATCACCCGTCTAAAAACGTGGTGGACTTTCTTATCTCTGGTTTAACAGCAGGCTTCCAAAAGGGTATTCTACACTTACCATCCGGGACTCTGGAATGCCCTAATCTACAATCCGCACAACATAATCCCACAGCTGTTGACACTCTCATAGCCCAAGAAGTTGCTGTGGGTTTCGTTATTGGGGCCTTTCAAAGCTCCTCCATTCAAAGAATGGCGTACTAACCCCATTGGTATTGTCACAGGGAAATCTTCCCTTAAACAGAGACTCATCATTGACTTGTCAGCACCACACTCATCGGCCAACCCCAGTCTTAATTCCCTCATACCCTCCGAGGAATTCTCCCTGCAATACACCACCACAGATCACGCCATTACAGCGATCATACAAGCAGGGTTCGGAGCCTGGCTTAGTAAGAACGATATTACGAATGCCTTTAAATTGCTACCAATCCACCCCACACTGTGGCACCTGCATGGAATCAAGTGGGCCGGACACTACTATTTCTTCTTCCGTTTAACTTTTGGGTCCAAAAGTAGCCCAGCTATTTTCGACACATTTGCCGAAGCATTGTGCTGGTTACTATTGAACATAGCCAGATGCCCTACGGTATTACATTACCTGGACGACTTCTTATTGGTCGAGGAAAATACTTCCCCTCCTAGTAGCCTCAAAGCTACCACCAAGCTATTCAAGCAACTAGGTGTACCAATCTCCCCTAAGAAAACGGAGGGGCCAGACACGATTATCACTTTCTTGGGTATTCAATTAGACTCAACCACAATGCAAGCAAGCCTACCACACGACAAGATAGAGAACATTCTTACCTACATCAACCGCTACCTTCAGCTCGGTACCTGCAACCGCAAAGAGCTACAGTCCCTGCTGGGGTCACTAAATTTTGCCATGCGTATCATACCTCAAGGCCGCTCCTTCATATCACGACTCTTGTATCTTTTTCCACGCTTCCTACACGACACACACAGGTTGTCCTTAGATAACCAAGCTACGGCAGACCTACGCATGTGGAAGGGATTTTTAACCACTTGGAATGGTAAAAGTATGTTCCTCCCTAAATTGACTGACTCATCACTTACTATTTGGTCAGATGCAGCATCTACCACAGGTTTTGCAGCAATTTTTGGGAACGAATGGCTTTGGGGCAGCTGGCCTACAGCAGTTCAGGATTTGGAAGGTTTTTCCACTACCTCAGCTCTCTTTGAGATCTATCCCATCGTGGTGGCTGCCGTAGCATGGGGTCATTTATGGGCAAATATATCAGTTCGTTGTTACTCAGACAACCAGGCAACCTGTCACAAAGGTTGCTCCAAATCCCTTACGATCATGAGATTTCTGAGGAAACACACGTGGTTGGCAGCTTGTCATAATTTCTTTCTATATTGTTTCCATGTTCCAGGAATATGTAACACAGCTGCTGACAGTTTGTCTCGTTTTAAATTTCAGGCATTTCATCAAGCACTCCCGTCAGCTGCGTTCACAGCCACTACCACTCCAATATTTCAACAACTAATACTGGACTAGACATCATCATGCATCATAGCAGTACACTGTCCCAATTGGCATTGTCAAAAAATACACACAAAACATACGACAGGGCTTTTACACTATTCAAAAGATTCCTTTTGGAACATAACACCATGCAACCATTTGTTATGACATCTTTTTGGGGTTTTGCTTCTTTTTGCCACCTTAAACTTAAAATGTCATATAACACCATCAAACTTTATCTCACAAGCATTCAACACCATATGCTAATCTTACAACCTACCAACACTAGTTTCATGGCCTCTCACCAGATCAAGACCATACTCAGAGGCATTCAGAAATCTGAACCCACACGTACATGACAGAGGCTACCCAGAGATAACCATATTTTCAAGGCATTATCTAACCTGCTTGATTTAAAACCTTTTGACACAAATACAAATTCTGTCATCAAAGCAGCAATATACATAGCTTTCTATGGATTCCTAAGACCTAGAGAGTTTACTACAACCAACATAACACAATCTGCTCCTATTCTCCTCTATTCCCACTTAACAAAACACATGGATCATTACATCCTAACGCTACCTCACTCCAAAACCAGCCAACACATACCAGTAAACATTCCATACTACCCCACACACAACAAGTGGTGCCCTGTCAAGGTTCTGGATGCATACCTACAGCATCATAATTCAATACCATCACAACCATTACTACTATTACAAAGTTCGGTACTCACCACTACAACCTTCATGACCTACGTCAGGTCTTTGCTCACTCAACTGGGCCTCAAAGCAGCTAACTACTCAGGGCACTCCTTCCGCATAGGAGCAGCGTCCACAGCCTCCAGTGTCAACATTCCAGTTCATGTTATAAAAACACTGGGGAGCTGGAAGTCATCCGCTTACTCACGATACATACCGAACCCAGTACAAGAATTAAGGAATGCTTTCAAAAACATGTCTGGTTGATATATGTATCTGTATTGGTTGTCTGTAATAAATTTGATTACTTAATTTTTGCCCTCTTCTTTCTCAGGCCTACCTCATCGTCGGTTCCGGCACACCACAACCGACTTGCCCTTTTTACTATCCTACATTTAATTATGGTATTTTACTCTGTACTATCATGAGCACCTAACACAAGTATTAAGGCAATTTTGCCTGGGTTTGTGGGAGGTGCTTGGTATCCACTCCTAGACTACTTAAGGCACACCCCTTACCTTACTCCTTACCGAGGTCAGCATTGAATGACCCTCCCACCACACCACATTATAACATTTATTTCCTTTCTATTTCTTTTTCCTGGGTAGTCCCTCTTATTTCACAGGCCTACCTCATCGTCGGTTCCGGCACACCACAACCAACTTGCCCTTTTTACTATCCTACATTTAATTATGGTATTTTACTCTGTACTATCATGAGCACCTAACAAAAAAAAATAAAAAAAAATATATATATATATATATATATATATATTAGAAGTCTTTTATTTAACATATTTTTAGGTTGGAGTTATTGTTAGTATCTGTGTTAGTGTAATGTAGGGGTTAATGTGGGGGTTAATGTTTAGTCAGAGTTTTTGGGTAGTGTAGTGATTCATGCTTAAGTACTAGAGTAGTGTAAGGGTCAGTGGTCCAGTTCTGACTCTCAAATCTATATGCAGATTGCTAAATATGGCCCTCATGGCTGCAGACCAGTCAGAGTGCCCATTATGACTCTTGGCCTGGACTCCCAAATATAAATGAGGCTGCACTTACCTGAACATGCATACATTATAAGGTGCTGCTGGGGCCAATTTATACAACATACAAGATCCAGTGCACACGCTTATTCACTAAACAGCAATTTCAAGTTTCACAGAATGTAACAGTTTTATTTAAAAACACCTCACCAAGGTAAAAAAATAATGGGGGTTTAGTTACATTATATGATCATACATTGCATAAGCCTGCCACAACGTCAATGTACCCCATTCTTGGCAGGTCCTACTCTAACAGCCAACTGTCTGCCTTTATGAGATTAATTAATTGACTTGGGAAATACTTCCTCCTTTGCTGAAAACATTGAGCCTTCATAGGAAACATTTTATTATATTTAACTTTTTCATATATTTTAGTGCGTAAAATAAAACTAGTGACAGATTCACCATGGAGTGTCCTTTTTAAGAGGGGAACGATAACTTAGAAATCAAGCAGGTACTTGTTCTCCTGAACTGTGTATTTTTTTAAATTTGCCAGATTAGTAATGTTACCTTTGAGACGGTGTGGTAGCCCAGGAATGAGAATTACCCCCATGATGGCATACCATTTGAAAAAGTAGACAACCCAAGGTATTGAAAGTGGGGTATGTTTAGTCCTTTTTAGTAGCCACTTAGTCACAAACACTGGCCAAAGTTAGCATTCATATTTGTTTTTGTGTGAAAAAAGCAAAAAACTAATATTTGGCCAGTGTTTGTGACTAAGTGGCTACTAAGAAAGGCTTGACATACCCCATTTGCAATACTTTGGGTTGTCTACTTTTGCAAATGGTATGCCATCATGGGGGTAATTCTCATTCCTGGGCTACCATACGCTCTCAAAGGCAACATAACCAATCTGGCAAATTCCAATGTAAAAAAATGAAATGCAAGCCTTATATGTGACTCTCTAACTTTCCAAAACACCATAAAACCTGTACATGGGGGGTACTGTTATTCTCGGGAGACTTCACTAAACACAACATTATTTTATTAGACTGTCTGAGAGCTCAAGCAGTCCCCCTGCTGGCAGATCCACAGCCAGCTATAGGAGGCCATGTGATTGCTCTTTGAGAGCGATCACATGGCACCCGAGGGCCTCATTTTCCGCAGCCCTCCAGAAGAGGATTGCGGCGGAGGTAAGTCCGCCGGACCTCCAGGGGCAGAAAGCCGTTATGGCGTTCTATGCCGCTGCAACGGCTTTAAAGCCCTTTTAATGTGGGACTAATTCACTTCATATGCCTTTTGCATTTGCTATTTGCCTCAAAGTCTTTTCTGCTTTAACATATCTACATTAACCCTGTCTTGGTCTGATATCAGGTTTATAGATGTGCCCAGCCGCATTTTAATGCAGGCCTTAATTTAGCTCCCAACATGCAAGGGAGTGTCGCCAACGTTTGGCCTACGAGACAAAATACAAAATAATGTACATATAAATATATATACAAATAAATCGTTTTTCAGTTCAAACACAAAACTCACAGATCACAGTGTGGTCATAGTTGGTTGCATGCAATATATGGGTTTGACAGATGGACACTGCTGGAGTTCCAAGGTGTTACATCAAATATCTCTCTATAAATATGACTGGCAAGGCATGAAAGAGCATTCACAGAGAACTGCTTGTACCTAAGAGATGCAGACTTTGTTTTACAAGATTCCATCACTATCCATGACAACCAGCGTGTTATGAATGTCACAAATAGTGTCACATCTCACTGCTTTTATTGGCATGCCATTAAAACTAAACCCACAAACAAATGTTGTCCATTCCATGTTCTGTTGTAATGTCTTAAGTTTGTACCCATATCCACAATTCTGAAGGGTGTTTTTTCTATGTTTGCGTGCTCTCCAGCTGCCGATTCCATTCCACATGTATGATGTCTATAGCTGGTAACTCTCTGGATTTACTCTAAAGAGATCAATGGTATTTACTCTAGTAGTTTTTTAGGAAAAAATAATCCAAAAATAGCAGAAAATATATGTAGCCACATCTAAAGCATTTCTACTTCAATTACAGAATTGTTGCTTTTGTCATTAGTTACAAATCTATCTTTCAATTTTAGAGCAATAATCACTAGCTGTAACAGAGTGCTATCATACATTTATCAACCAAGGCATAAGTAAGAAAAAAAGAGCAATAAACATTTTGTAATGGTTGAAATAAGTACTGTAAGTTTAGCGAGAAGAATTCGAAATGCATGTGAATAATTTATTCAATGTCCTCAAGAACTTGCATCACCGGTTTGTGATTTGCGAGCCAAGATCATCTGTTTTGTAGCTGTTTTACAGTCTCTCGCCAGTCCTAGAACGCACATCAAGTCGATGAAGCATGTGGTTGGATTCAATTTGATACCAAACTCACTGGCTGAATAATCAAATGGGAAGGTGTGATGGTAATTGTGAAATCCTTCACCTAAAAAAAAAATGAAACACTCCATCACAATTTGATACTAAAACAGACAGATTTTGTTATGGCCGGTCATATAAATTAATAGAGTCTATTAGAATATACTATTAGTATTATTATAAATAGACTAAAATATATTTTTGAATTTTTTTTTATATTACTTAATGTGTTATTTGTGAAATCGTTGTTTTATTCTAATGTATTACTTTGTGGGCGCTCAAACAATGTTCTAATCACATTAATTTGTTGTAAAGTATAAGTAAAGCCTTAATGTATGGACAATGACATCAATAATGTGAACTGACACATCACATCATGAATGTGGTTTTATGGTACCAATGCATTTGCCATCAAAAGTTGGCAATTGTATTTTCATCACTCTTGAAAGCAACTGTAACAGAGTAGAATGCCATCAATAGATAATATTTACCTGGCAACCTGCAAGAATTAGTTAGAACATTCTTTTAGTTTTATTCTATTTAGTTTTACACTTGAATTGCAGCTGACTGTGGAGATAATCAGGGACGTATTAGCCGCGAGGCAAACAAGGCAAACAAAAAAAGACGCCCCCAAATGCCCAGGGCAAATGGCTTGTTAGCTAACTAACAATGTGGTCGGTCGGGGGGGCGGCCGCAGAGTGATGCCGCCCAGCCTAGGGAAGCACAAAACCAGGATACACCACTGGAGATAATGGTACTCTCCCAGTGCAATGTCACCCACTAAATCATCTTACAGAGCTATTTACTAAAAAGAGGTTTGCCAGGAATCCCAGGTGAATTCAAAGTGAATTTTCAAATTTAGGCAAAAACAGCCAAATAGGAAACATTCTCCAAGTCAATTCTGTTTTTAGTATTGCTAATTTGGCCTTAAATTGGAAATTCACTATCAATTCAAGTGAGAAATTCTCACTTTAGTGAATAACTCTGTAAATTTGGGTTAAAAGTTGTATTTATTTTTCTTTCCATGAAACAGTATTGGATAGAGGAATAACAACCCTTCGTTAGCCGTAGTCCTGTTAAACATGGTCAAGTTAAATATTCCACCGTATGTTCCTCTGTCTACAAACTGGTTTATTAAGTAAATTTTAGCAAATGTAATATGAATTGCAAAACTGATTATTATTATTATTATTATTATTATTATTGGCATTAATATAGCACCAACAGATTCCGTAGCGCTTTACAATATTATAAGAGTGGGGATTTAACTAAAAATAGGATAATTACAAGAAAACTTACAGGAACAACAGGTTGAAGAGAGCCCTGCTCAAACAAGCTTAGTCTATAGGAGGTGAGGTGGACAGGAAAAAGCAATCAAAATAGGTGGCAGAGAAGCAGAGCTGAAGGAGAGAGTAGAGTGCTGCCCTTTAGGATAAAGCAAGAGACAGGTATGTAAGGTAGAGGTGACTCTGGGAGGCCATAAGCTTTCCTAAAGAGATGGATTTTAAGGCACTTCTTAAACGATTGAAGACTATGGGAGAGTCTGAAGGTGGTAGGCAGGCTGTTCTATAGGAAGGGAGCCATCTGCGAGAAGTCCTGCAAGTGTGAGTTGGCCGTATGGGTGCGAACAACGGACAGGAGAAGGTCACGGGCAGAGCGGAGGGACCGAGAAGGGGCAAACCTATCTGTAAAGAGGTATAAGAGGGGCTAGAATTGTTCAATGCTTTATCGGTATGGGTTAGCATTTTGAATTGACTCCTATAGGATGCAGGAAGCCAATGTAAGGACTGACAAAAGGGTGAGGTGTGAGAGGACTGACTAGAGTGGAAAATCAGTCTTGCGGCAGCATTCATTACAGACTGTAGTGGGGCAATGCGGTTTTTGGGAAGACCAATTAGGAGAGGTTTACAACAATCCATGTGGGAAATTACTAAAGCATTGGACAAGCTTCTTGGTTGCATAAGAAAGGGGCAGATGCGGGCTATGTTTTTAAGATCAAATCTACAGGATTTGGTAACATGCTGGTTGTGAGGCTCAAAGGTGAGGCTAGAATCAAATATGACACCAAGACAGTGCGCTTGCCAGGATGGACTTATGCGGATACCACTGACTTGAAGGGAGAGCAAAAGAAGAGGATCAGTATTAGGAGAAGGAAAGACAAGGAGTTCAGTTTTAGAGAGATTTAGATTTAGAAAGCAGGAGGACATCAAGTCAGAGATGGAGGAAAGGGAAGCAGTGACACGTTGCAGGACGGCAGGGGTGAGGTCCGGGGAGGAGAGATAAAGCCGGGTGTCATCAGCATACAGGTGGTAGTGGAATCCAAATGAGACAATAAGTTTGCCAAGAGAGGCAGTATAAAGAGAAAATAGAAGGAGACCAAGGACAATGCTTTGGGGGACTCCAACAGAGTGGATGTTAAAAGAGACTTGTTTCTTTCTAAAATAGCCAAGTTTTGACACTAGCTGAAATGGAGAATTTCTCCAAATAAAATATTATTGGCAACATCTTCCACCAACAACTTTCTGTACTAATATAGTATATCGTGCCAATAGCAATACAGCAAGTTTGTGTGGGGTTTCACTTGAGCTTACAATCAACCAATTAGAAATAATTGTTAAATTTAAAGTTAAATAGGACAGGGAATCAATATAGGAAACAATTATAGTTACAGGAATAAAAGGATGAAACAAAACACTAAAACATAGTGTTTCATGTTGTCATCTTATTCTTAAATTGTCCGGGAGCACAGCTCAGGTGCTGGTATAGAAGGAAGTGCTACATAAAGCCCTGTAGTGCTTTTTGATCCAGCTGGGTAGATATATCTCCCCTAACAGGACCACCTTGGCCAGTGGCAACACAGAGCAACCTTTATTAGATGGGAATCTGAAAAGCTACTTCACAGACAGTAGTGCTGGAGTATATGATATCATATATATCACTTCCTCCCAGCATTACTGTGGAGTTGCTCTAGCATTGGCAGCTAAGCCTTAGGCGTAAGCCAATGTATAGAGAGGTGGGGATATCAAATTTCACTCAGTGGCCAATTTACTAGGTACACTCCAGCAGTGGGTAAGACTGCTTTGCCACCAGAACAGCCTAAATTCTGCAAACCATTATTCAACAAGGTGCTGGAAATAACACCATCCTTCTTGACATAACATTATATACATGGCCCATCCCACCACATTCAAATGAGCTCTGTTAGATTGAGATCGGGTGATT